GGCTTAGATCTCCAAAAGTTTTTGGAACCACTATAATCTATGTATATTTCTTCTTCCACTATTAGTATGTCTATTCTATAAGTCAGGTAAGCTGGAGTGGTGCATATGTGGTTAAAGGGAATACCAATTGCAAAGACAGGGATTTTAGGTACAACAATGCAGCTGTTGCCATTATAATCTTCCTTAGTCCAGTACACAAAAAGTTACTAATCTGGTTCATGACAGCTGAAATTGTCAGTCTATTAGCATGCTATTATCTACCTAAAAACTTCATTTATTTATTTTTCCAGGAAAATGAAGGAGATAATTTAACAAAGTTTCTAAAGTTTACAATAATGAGATTCTACTTTACAAGGTTTATTTCAGTAACACACACACACACACACACACACACACACACACACACACACAATTATTCTGAAATCTCAGATCCTGAGTACAATAATCATCAGATTGATCTTAGTTATCTTTTGACATTAGTACCTTAATTGTGAAATAATTCACTATAATAACTTTTCTAAGGAATGCCTTTATATCAGCATTATTGTTTTAGCAACTATGGAGGGATATTTACACATAAGAACATTTATGGAAATGTATATGCATATTATATGCATAATAAGGAGTATGTATTATGTGGACATATATGTGTAGAGAAATACATAAGCATATAATTTCAGTATTTTACTGGCTCTAACCAAAATTGAGTAGCTCTGAGTAAAAAATCCTTTCTTGAAAAATAAGGAGGCCAATAATAGAGGAAGATACTTAATACTGACTTCTGATCTCCACATGTCTATGCAGAGGAAACCCACGAACACATAGATACAGACCCATGTATAAATCACAAACAAATTGAAAAAAAAATAAAGTGTAAAAATCAAGTTAAAAAACTGTTCAATTGCAATAACAAGTTGTTACACCTAAAATCCTCTAGAGCTTGTTCTTTTTGTGTGAAAAAGTCAGCTGCACACAACAGTAGAGAGAACGGTGTGACGAATTGCCATTATGCATAATCATGTTATAAAGCCAAAGATGTTGTTTTTCTTGCTTTATCTTTTAGCCTTACTTTTGAAGTCAAATATAAGACATCCTGTCATATTAGTTCAAAAATACTTTGATATGCACCCCTAAAAATAAGGAATATTTTTAAACCTCTTTTAATACTATTTCTGTACAATTAAACACATTGGGGCTGGGGCTGGAGAGATGGCTCAGAGGTTAAGAGCACTGGCTGTTCTTCCAGAGGTCCTGAGTTCAATTCCCAGCAACCCCTTGGTGGCTCACAACCATCTGCAATGAGGTCTGGTGCCCTCTTCTGGCCTGAAGGGACACATGCAAGCAGAACACTGTATACTATACATAAATAAATAAATCTTTAAAAAAAAAAACACACACTGGGGATCTTTTGTAATACAGTGGATGTCTGATTGAAATCCCGCCACCCTATTGACATCATAATTGTTTCAACTTCTAAAACCATGAAAACCACACAATTAATTAAAACAATCTTTCAAAAATGTGTCTTCCTTTGAGGTTATCTATCAAGTGCCTTTGGTTTATAACTTACATTAAAACTGGATATAGTACAGCATAAAGTCTATTATTCCATTTGACAAATAAATAAAACTAATTTCTAGTATTCCACAAAAGGGTAGAAATCCATTTTAAGGGGGGTGGAGCAAGGAAAATGGCTCAGTCTGAAAACTGCTTGTTACATAAACATGACAGGCCAAGTGCAGCCTCCCAGGACCTACGTTTGTCACCACGCTTGCGATTCTAGCTGTGGAAAGTAGATAGCTGGAACTCACTAGGCAGCTGGCCTAGCCAACTTGGCCAGAAGAGACTCTGCCTCAAAAAGAACGTAGGCAGTACCCAAGGTATGACATCCAAGTTTGTTTGGGCCTCCACATTCATGGATGCATGCACATGCATGTATGTGCATATGTATGTGTGTGTATGTGTACGCGCGCGCGCGCGTGCGCGCGCGCACACACACACACACACACACACACACACACACACTTGCCCAGATACAAATGCATTCAGAAAGAGAGTTGTTAGTTAAGATGTAGCCAAATAAAGACATTATCACACACCCATTTAAAATGGATACTACATTTCTATGGGAATACAAATTGGACACAAAACACTTTCTAAACAAATTTTTGAAAAGTAGAAAATTATTCAAACATTCTAGTCATTCAGTAAGGACTCTTCTTAATAATTCATGACCAAAGATTCTTACTGGAAGGAATCTACAGGCATCACCCTATCACTTAAAATTTATTGCATTAAGTGATAAAAATCACATGGTAACACACACTTTCAGCTGGGAGGCAAAGGCACAGTACCTTCAAGCTGGAAAATATACTTGATCCAGCTGCCACTTCCTTTCAGGAAGAAGTGCTCTTACTCATTTTCTTGTTTGGTTTGAGGAATTTTACAAAGTGTTAGGGATCAAATATCGAACCAAAAGCCTTTCACATGCTCGCCATTTCTCTACCACTAAGCTATCTCTCCAGACTGAGTTTCGACAGTTTAATGATAATATGCGTTGTACCAGAGTAGATCTGCTGAGTTACTGAAAGCGAACCACTAAGATCTTAAGAGTAAGTAAAGGGATCTTCATGGAACAGAATCTCCCTGACCAAATAATCATCCACCACACACATTAAATGATGGCAGGTCAAGGTGTCCTGCTTCTCAGCTCAGGAAAAGAGGGAAGAGAAGACAGCATCCTAGCAATCACCCGGGCGGGAGACAACAGATGGTTGTTTGTTTAGGTTTTGTTCTGTTTTTGACACATCTGTCAAGTGACACATCTGGATGGAAGTATTCTAGCTCTCCATCTTAAAGATTTTTGTGACATTTCCATACTCGATTTTAAGCATTTAAATAATTTTAAACAAGAATTAACTGTTAAAGGACATTGCTCCAAAGTACCAACTTGAGAATAGTCTACATTCTCACAATTATTCTATGTAAAGTATAGACCATTAATTTGAGGACTTTTTCAAAAAATTGAAACAGTTCAAATAAGCAAAATCTAGAAAGCTTGAGAGGTAGTGAAAATGTTAATAAATGATATGATGAAAAATAAAACTTTATCTAAGCAATACATATATGCAGACCAAAAAACTCAGATACATTTTTTTAAAAAAGGTCTGGAAACAGCAAAAACAAAATAAATACGAAAAGGAACGAGAATGCAGGTATAGGCCCTGACATGGGCTAACTGGTGCCTGCAGGAGATGACAGTGCCTTCAGAACACATCAGTCATCCATTCTATGGTATCTCTCTGAACCTTTTCATAGAAGTGGCTCCAGCAGAGCCTATTAAACTTGGTATGGAGCCAGACATGGCGGCATAGACTTTCAGGTGGGAGCAGAGGCAGGCAGATCTCTGTGAGTCCCAGGCCAGCCAAGCCTGCATTGTGAGACCCTGCCTCAAAACAAAACAAACAAAAATTGGTTTGGTTGCATAAGATTATGACAGTCATTAATGAGCCAGATTTCTGAGTGAGTTAGAGATGAAGTGCCTGTTAGGAGGGCCTTTTGCTTTGTTCTTGCTTTTTGTTGCAATGGAAACTGGAATGCCAATATTTTTAAGATCTCATTAAAAGTGTAGCAGTGACTCCAGTCAGGTTTAAAACTTGATGGTTACTTGAACTTATACCCCAATCAATACCAGTTTAAAAACATTTAATAAGACAACAAAACGGCCCAAGTTTATTGGAGTTTAATTTTAAAAGAAAGAGAAGAGAGGAAAGGAAGGAAGAAAAGAAGGGAGAAGGGATCCTGAACTGAGTTTTTCTCAGGAATTTCCTGTGGAGCATAAATATTGATTTTATTGTTATTTTACTTTTCATCCACTTCACCGCTTAAAAGGGGTAGATCATTAACTAAAATCACACATTTAACTAAAACTACTTATCTTCCAGCGTTTAAGGTAGTAGATGCAATTAGTCCTTTGCTAAATGTTAATGACCTCTGTCTTAGGGGAAAGGGGAAGAGGTGCTCAAGAGCTAAGGCTGTCAGTAAAAAGGCTCCTGCTTGGTTCTGCCTGTAGGAGAGCATTAGTTCGAATCACATTCAACACTGAGAACAAGTCATCTTCCAGTCTTAGGAACACAAATGTCTGAACTCGAGGAAACGATTGTCAGACCTCTCCTTTCTCATGAACAGACTTTTACATTCACTTTTGTCTGTTCATTTAAATAATGGGTTTATTGCCATTGGGGGTTGGTTGAAAGTATAGTTTTAAACATTGGCATTGACTTATTTGAAATAAATATTAAAAACTTAAAGTCCTCTTTAAAACACAAGGATGAGCTCTTAAACTTTTTTGGTGGCACGTGAGTACATCAGACAATACAAGTCACATAACAATGGCTATGTGAACATATGCCTAGAGGAGGTAAGCTTCCAGTTCCATGAAGGGTGAAGCCAATGGTTCATTTGAAGGAAGTGGTGTCAACAGTGTAAACAAATACAGGTAGCCAGAAATGGTGGCTCATTTTTGTCACTCAGAAGGCCGAGGCAGGAGGATTACCCTGCATTCCAGGCCAGCCTATCTAGATCAAGGTCAGCCTGGGCTATGGAACAAGACTGTCTCAAAAAACAATAACAAATATAAAACAAAACAAAAAATAAAAACCTGAAACAAACAACCATAAAACAAGATACATAAATTACCACTTGAGGAAAAAAGAGATAACTTACACAATGGATTTCCTAAGGAACTAGGTGTTGAGAAGACAGCTGAAGCTCACTGTTTTAAATGCCCATAACAACATTCAAGTGTGATATGTTTGTCTATTTAACAAGTCTCCAGTTCTTATGAAGATTTATCCCAATACCCCAGATGATAACAGTCTCTACTGAAAGCTGTCAAAAAGGCCCTCAAAGAGTTGAGTACAGGCTTTCCACACAGTAGTTACAAGTGGTTTCAAGAGTGGAGTTCTCCACTTTGTTTTGATTTTCTTAAATGCACTCACTTGTGACCAATCTCATGTGCAATGGTAAAAGCTGAACCCAGGCCAATGTCTTCATTAATGCTGCAGCTCCTTTCGGGCTCACACATTCCAGCCACGGAGGCTAAGCCTGAATAAACAGAAAGAGACACAGAGGGTCAAGCCAAGGTGTTTCAGCCTTTAAAAGCCTATACTTCTAAATGCCTGGATTCTTTTTAACAACCTCCACGCACAGAAGGAGCAGTTGGCAAAAGGTTAACTTTCTAGTCATTTGCGAAATCACTGGGGGGAATTTCACTTTGCCGGCTAGACATTAATATTTTTTGAACTGCAGTCGGTGCTGGAAAATGTCTAGACTAGGGGTTAGATTTATAAATTTTACTTCTGGTAACTTGGGACCACCTAGTAACTTGAGCCAGAAAAGGGAATTCAAGAAAGCATTTCTATTTTAATATTCTTCAGCTGTAGAAAGCAAAATATATCCACATTATTTTTCTAAAGAGATCTGTTTAAGTTGAGTGGGTTCATAAAAATATACAAGCAACTTTTTAGTTAACAAAAAGAGGGAATCCCAAATGGTTTTATAAATGACATTTTTATTTAAAAAAAAAAAGTCGATAGTTCAAAACAGGAGGGAAAAAAAACTATGAAAGCTGAAACTGAAACTTTCGTCCTTTTTTAATCTCTGTAATTAGCCCTGATAGCAGCAGTTTATGTATATATGGAGGGAAGTCAGTCATGCATTCAATGTTTTCTTCTCTCCCACCCCCCTTCAGTGCTTTAGAGTTCTTACTAATAAAGCAAAACCATGGTGTTAATTCGCTGATTTCTCATGAAATGTTACGTTACCTGAGCTATTTCCCCTTGGAAGCCTTAGTATTGACTTCCAAATGAATACCATGCTCTGTGGATTATGCCCTGTGGATTAGTATAGAATTTGAAATCAGCACTTAGAAAAAAGAATTTTGTGAAAAATGAAAAATGCTGTCTGTTATGAGGAAGCAGATGCCAAATAATACATGCAGAGAAGAATCATTGAAAGACATTGAAGGGAAAGGAAGGAGGAAATTTCATGTACTCTGTTAGTGTGTTATTCCAGGCTTAGGAACTGCCTTCCCACCAAGGTTACCCTAATTCAGCTCTCAGGATATTTCCTGAGAGCAACAAACAGTGTTCTGGGGGACAGGGGGGGGGTGTGCAAGTGCCCAGTGGCACTAATTGGGAACAGTCAACACTATTCAATCCATATTTTCTACTAAGGCAGCTCTAGAAACTGTGTTTCTCTGTTCTTCCTGATATAAATATTAAAATAACAGCCACACTTATTAAGTTAACACAAAGTTAAGGTGAGTGTTGGATTCGCTGATAACAGCTTCTTCTACTGTTTAATAGGGGACGAGCAGAAGTTAGAAAGGGGGTTCTTTCTGCCTCAGAGCTGTCATAGGCATGGGTGACACCACTGTGCTGACCCTCCATACCACCTAAAGGTATTGGGACCTGAAAAGAAGACAATAAAAAAGAAGGACCACTGGGGCAAAATGAACTGAGGCTTTGACTAACCAAAACTACGTTATAAACATCACTTGTAATTCCACTAAAGCACACACATCCACAACATGCAGACTAGAAACACGACTTGGCTCTAAGCTGCTGGGTTCAGTATGGGAGATCATGTCGGAAGAACAAAACCACAATGAACACTATTTCTGTGCTGAGTCATTTTAAAACAGGATTACTACTCACAACTATTGATAAATTAACATTTCTTATATTTTCACTAACTATCCTTTGGTTTTTCTTAAGATGGTGGTGCTGCATTGGGTTGTATTTTGTTTGTTTTGTTTTTTCTTTTATTGGCGTTGGAGTGGTTTTTCTTTTGGTCTGTGTTCTATGACTGTATCTTGAGTTAAGAGTTCTCACTGACACCCCAGTGTAGTTATAAGTACATATTTGCTTGATACCTGATCTAAAACTGTTAACAAGCTGAGGGACAACTTTAGAAAGGCTTTATTTGGAGAGTAGCTATTGATTTGTGACTGATAATGAGAATAAACACTGGCATATGCTTCATTAACTCCCACCACTTTCTAGTTTTCTGACGACTGCTGCTGTCAAAACGCCTAGGTGTGAAAGTGTTGATCAAGATTTCATTACCATTGGGTCATTTAGATTTCCTCAGTTTGGTGGTCAGTCTGTACCCTTAACCCAACTACCCTTATAATGTAAATGGCCATTAGAGTTGTTAACCAAGAGATTATGAAAAAAAAGAAAACCACCTCATCATAAATATCAACACAATAGATGCTAAAATAGGTAATGAATTACTTTAATTAAAATTATATTTATAAAATAGTAATAAACTGCTTGATTCTTACCAATATTTTCTACATATAAAAGTCAATACATGTATCTATATATGCATTATTGAGTTTTCAAAAATTATACTTTTAATTTACAAATAATTGAGCTTGAAAATACAATCATGTGTACCTAGCAATCAATTTAGTAACTATAGAATTGAATGAAAAATTAAAGTTAAAATACATTATTTTGAGCAAAAAAAGAACAAATTAGACAGTAAAGTACATCAGATCATTAGTAATGATAATGAAAGTACTAGGTAGTCATATTACTAATGCCAGAATAAAGAGCCTGTAAATGTAAATTACTATACCTTTAAATAACAGAATGAAAATGTATATACTTATGTCCTTAAAACATATATGCTTGAAAATATAAGCCCTAGCTTATATGTATACTTGTTTTGAGGCTTTAGGGTTAATTGGTTCTAAAGTAGATAAAACATTTAATAGAAGCTGGGTGGTGGTGGTGCATGCCTTTAATTCCAGCACTCGGGAGGCAGAGACAGGCAGATCTCTGTGAGTTCGAGGCCAGCCTGGGCTATTGAGTGAGTTCTATGACAGATGCCAAAGCTACACAGAGAAACCCTGTTTCGAAAAACCAAACACTTAATAGGTACCTATTGAATTTGAACAATAAATAAATGAATTAAATAAAACACGGCAGGTGATTCTATATCAAATAATAATACCTGTTCCTTTATTATAACATTCATTTTCAAAGGAATTGTATTTCTTGATTGATTTTTAACAATATTCCTTTAGTAAAAGGTCAGATAGTACTCCTGCTTCATAAATAAGAAAATTAAGAAACAAGGAGGTTTAAAAGATTGTAAAAAGTCACAAATACTCTGAACCTGTCAAGGTTAGTCTCAACTCCAGGTTTTCTCAGTTGGTCTTAACTTGAAACACTACAAAGAAAATCCCAACATGAGCTAGTTCAGCAAAGAGAGCTCTTTCTGTGACAGGTATTAAACTAGCAAACTTTTCCATGGTGAATACTAGGCATTGGCTAATTGGGATTTCTCCTCTAGTCATAAATCTCGAGGAACACAGGAGAAGCCATGTAAAAACTGATCAAGAGAAATTCCAGTCTTTGAAGGGATGTTTCACTGAACCACCAGGAAGTTGGGAACACTTTTTCTCCTAAGTCCACTCTAACTGGATATTCCCAAATGCTTAGGATATTCATAGGAACTAACTTATTTATTTACAGATGAGAAAACTGAGACTTGATATAGATAGAGAAGTAAAAAAAAAAAATGACTTTCTCTTCTTAGATATTGAGACTGTAAAATGTTTTCATGACACTAAAAATTGACAAAGGGTGAAAAAAAAATCTCCTGCCTTAAAATAACATTAGTTATTTTAAGATTTGGCCTTCTGAGAGCTGCATAGTAATCCACTGTGTTTACATTTAACTTTCAACCAATATTAAACCATGCTTCATAACAAAATATACCTCTTTAAAAATTCAAGATGATTACTGAAATGTTTTTAAAAAGACAAAGAAAATTCCTCCTTCTTTCTCTATCTCTGGCTAACTGTTTGATGAAATTCTTTGGTGATTGGACTAACATTTTTTAGATAATATCTGAGTTCATGGGAGATAAGTGTTTTAAAAAAATATACCAAAAGAAGTATAATTTTATTTTTTATTTTTCATTTTTTAAAGATTTATTTATTTAGGGCTGGACAGATGGCTCAGAGGTTAAGAGCACTGACTGCTCTTTCAGAGGTCCCGAGTTCAATTCCCAGCAACCACATGGTGGCTCACAACCACCTATAATGAGATCTGGTGCCCTCTTCTGGCCTACAGGGACACATGCAAGCAGAATGAGTATACATAATAAATAAATAAATCTTTAAAAAAAAAAAAAAAAAAAAAAGATTTATTTATTTATTATGTACACAGTGTTCTGCCTGCATGCATGACAGAGGAGGGCACCAGATACCATTACAGATGGTTGTGAGCCACCATGTGGTTGCTGGGAATTGAATTCAGGAGCTCTGGAAGTGCAGCCAGTGCTCTTAATCTCTGAGCCATCTCTCCAGCCCCCTTTTTAAGTATCTTAGTTTGTTTTCTTTTCTTTCCTTCACTAGTCTTGATTTCAAGAAGCTTTCACTTGTCTCAAACACTCAAAAACTGTTTTTGTTTTGGGGGGATTTTTTGTTTGTTTGTTTTACAAAATTTATTAGAAAGACAGAAAATAAGAAAATGAGTGGTAACTTTGACTTATAATTACTACTAATTTTTAAATAATCTTCTAAGTTGTTTTCATTCATACCATTTATCAGAGAATTCAAAGTTAATAAAAATTTAAATTTTTTCACTATTATGGGAACAAAAATTTGTTTCAAGCAATTATGTATGCAAGAAAGGACACGTTTAAAAATTTTGGGGGGTAATTTCCCATGTAATAGAAAGGAAAATAACCAAATTAATAATAATAAAGAGTAGCTTCATTGCCTCAAAGAGACATCTAAATTATCCTTTACTCAAAAACAAAAACAAAAACAAAAACAAAACTTACCCAATGTTCCACAGGGCTTATTTTTATAAGTGCAGATATCATATCTATGGAGGAGAAAAAAGATAAAATTTGTAGAATATTTGTACATTCATTCATTTCTTTTTTGGAGCTCTGTTCATTCAGATCAAAATCAACGCAATTATGAGTAGCCAGCTGGAGTGTTGCATGGCCAGCACTATGGGGAAAGGCAGACTTCACACACTCACAGTTCTGCCTGCAAGTCAGTAGGATACCTACCAGCCAAAAAATAAAGGAAAGAGTTCTATTAAACTATCTATCATATTGTTTTGAATAGCTCATCTACAGGTTGCTACTGCTTCTATCTCAATGAGTGGGTTTTATTATTAATAATAATCTCTTTGATCCTGCTGGACTGCTAGAGTATCTTCTTGTTGCAGCCACAAACTATATGAATCTGAGCACCATTTGAAGCTCATTCAATTAACTCTAACATTGGTACTTGTCTTTAAATAAATAAATACAGACACCATAATACATCAACAGGAATTAAATCAATGTTACATATTATTCCTAGATGTACACTAGAATTTACATGGTGAAAATACAAAACTTTTAAGTGACTTAGCAAATAGATAAATGAATGCTAAATAGAATGTTTTCTTAATGTTAGACTCTACTGTGAAGCTGCATCATAACGCAATACAAAAGATATTAAAGAAGTGTTGCATATTTAAAATAGATTACATTGAAGATGTTAAGTCAAAATGGATATGCTTATCTTATTTTGTTATTATCCCTTAGAATCCTGTTTGCTTTCTAATGAGAGACAGAAAGGGAGTCAATCTGGACAGGAGAGGCAGGAAGGAACTAGGAAGAGGAAGGGGAAACAGTAACCAGGATATATTATGTGAGAAAAGAATCTACTTTCCATAAAAGGGGGGAAGTACCAGAGAGTATATGCTGGACGTCGTGATCAATTTATCTTGTGATTACCATGTTGCATATTATATTAAATAAACATAATTCAAGTTAATTTTAAAAAATCATTTCATGGGTGATATAAATACATATGTATGCAATCCCCAAGTATCATTCACACCTTTCCTAAAACTGATCTGCCTCTTCACCAACCCCACATCTGACAGAGGATTGATCTCCATAATGTATAAAGAACTCAAGAAACTAGACATCAAAGTACTGAACAGTCCAATTAAAAAATGGGCTAAAGAGCTAAACAGAGAATTCACAAAACAAGAACTACAAATGG